ACCGGCAGCTCCCGGGAGCATCTTCCTCGGCGGTTTCTTCGTAGTGCTGCTCTCTGTACAACGGTGAAAAGCAGCGGGCGCGTCATCGCGCAGGTCCCTTCCTTCAGCAGCTCCGGCACATCTTATCCAGGATTCCAGCGCTCCAACTGCTCCTTCCTCCCTCCCAGCCCACTAGATTGCGCCTGCCTCCACCTGTAAGAGTACCCTGAACGTGGGGACCTCCTGCCAAAAAAGACAGCCGACAGCTCGTATCATTTTGCTCTCGTGCTCCGTCCCGCTCCACCTCGGCGCTTTTCGCAGTATCCAATCTCCAACTCCCCCGACTGCGCTCATGCTGCGTACTGCGTACCGTACCGACTACTACCACCTCTCGTTCTACTCCCCTTCTCCGCCGCCCGCCTCCTCTCTCACCCCTCACTTCCCGATCTCGTGTGCTTGGGAGCCTCCTTCCTGCCAGAACCGTTCTCGATTATCTGACCTATACAACTGCTTCCCCGCAAGGCCAATGGGCTGCGATAACCGCTAGTCGTTCAGTGTCACGGCGGCGTGGGAGCGTTCCCCGCATACCGGGACACTTGGGAAGGTCCAGCATCTATCCAACTACCTGAGTGAGACCTACACGACAGATACAAACGGAGAGAGAGACGGCCAGGGAGAAAAGACGCAGACCACCAAAGACGCGGCACGATATTCGAATAAAAATCACGACGAATACACCGAGAGAACCGGGCCCTCGTTGACCCGTTACTTCGTTTCGCACCCAATTCTCCGAGAACCAGTACACACCGCGGGACATCGCCGCCTTTTCCTTGCTGATACCGTACCTAGCTGGCGCCTAACCTCCGCACTTCTGAACTTCGACCAACCTCAACAGTGAGAGGGAATGTCTCACGACGAACAACACGACGCTGAACGAGGCGCACCACACCCCAACGACGAAGAATATGGGCCTTACCCGACCTCGACATATCCCAACTACAGTAGCTCCAGAGCCTACCCAGCTGCGGCTCCTGCCCGCGCGGCGATAGCTGCTATTGAAGAGGCCGTTGCTGTCATGCCCGCCAACGAGACGATCACTGCATTTGAGCGGTGGGCAGCTGGCGCTTCCGACGCCCAGTTCAACGCCCTGTCCGGTGCCGTGGGAGGATTTACCTCGGGCGTTGTTACGTGCCCGCTCGATGTTATCAAGACCAAGCTGCAAGCCCAAGGCGGCTTCAACCCAGTTGAGAAGGGCAGACATGTCGGACATGGTCCGAAGCTCTACAATGGATTGCTTGGCACCGCCCGTGTAATCTGGAAGGACGAGGGAATACGCGGCATGTACAGGGGACTCGGCCCGATAGTACTGGGTTATTTGCCCACCTGGGCTGTATGGTTTACCGTCTACAATAAGAGCAAAGACTGGTTGAAGCACCGTCATGGTAAGTGGGAGCCTCTGCCGTGGGAGCGTCCCGCCCGAGAGTCATGTTTGCTGACTCGAGCTACAGACAACACGGTGTTGATCAACTTTTGGTCATCCATTATCGCTGGTGCCAGTAGCACTGTCGTCACGAATCCCATTTGGGTCATCAAGACTCGCTTGATGTCGCAGAGCGTTGCCCATGACCCGGGCAAGTATCATTCGCAGTTTCCGAGATCGGGCAACACTCCGACGTCCAGACCAACGAATCACAGTTCATGGCACTATCGGTCAACAATCGATGCGGCACGCAAAATGTACACGTCGGAGGGCGTTCTTTCCTTTTACTCTGGGCTCACCCCCGCCTTGCTGGGACTTACGCACGTGGCAGTGCAGTTCCCAGCTTATGAGTATCTGAAAACGAGGTTCACTGGCCAGGGTATGGGAGAGCCGACTCAGGGCGATTCGCAGGAGTCGCAATGGATGGGAGTGCTGGGTGCTTCGATATTATCGAAGATCATGGCGAGCAGTGCCACATATCCTCACGAAGTCATCCGCACGAGACTGCAGACGCAGAGAAAACCAGTAGGAGGAGTCGAGTATCTTCAAGGTCTGGGAATCAAGGTTCCCTTATCTGAGGACGGCAAACCGCAGCAACCGTTATCACCAAAATATCGCGGCGTGGTCAGCACCTTCCGGACGATCCTCCAAGAGGAGGGCTGGAGGGCCTTCTACGCTGGCATGGGCACTAACATGATGCGAGCGGTGCCGGCCGCGACAGTGACGATGCTGACGTACGAGTTTGCGATGAAGCATTTGAATCATGCGAGGAGCGAGGGCAAGAGGAAACTAGCAAGTGGTACACCAGCCGAGCCATGAACTGGTAGGGCAGAAGCCAGAGAAGCGCGGTCTCATTTTGAAGAAGACAGAGTGGGGAGAGAGAGAAACTTGTCAAGGCAATATGTGCGGTTTAGCAGTCTCGGGGGAAAAGAGAAGATGTTGAGATTAGGAAACAGGGATGGGATTTTCCAGATACCCTTAACTTTGGTCGTCAGGTATAGACAAACTCGATTCAGGTCACGGAACCAGCAATAGTCCCCTTCAGCCCCTTGCTCAAGGTAGGAGACGGCTCTTTTGACCTGACCCTCCCCTCATCTTCATCGCATCCAAGCGACCACTTATCCTTCTTTCTTATATCACACACGATTTCGGAACATTTAGGGTATAGTTGCGAGACAGGGATCATGGCATGCATGGCTTTGTTTATTCCCATCGGCTGGCGGCTCACTTTTGTAGCATTGTACTTGTTTGGCGCGGAGTATATAAGGAGTTTCGATAAACACACACTGAACCAATGTTGCGGGGTTTTTGTTTTGGCTTTTAGCAGTCCGCGGTAGCCAGAAACAGAAATGTCGGCGGAGACGCGGAGAGGGGGGTATAACTACAATAGAAACCGTGAAACAAACTCCGAAAAAAGAAGAACGAAATTAAACCCGCGAAGCCTGCTGCTTTTTTCTTGCCCTCTAACTAGCTTTTGGTCTGCAATTCTTTGGTACAGAGGGCCAGTGATTCGGTGAGATACGTGGCCCCTAATTTGTGTACCTGGTGAACTCGTCGCGCTGCGTATTTGACGCGGCATTCACCTCCGAGGTGTTGGAAAATCTCAAGACGGGCTACCGTTGCTAGGTCCATGGCTCGGGCCGTGAGGATGTCTCTGCACGTCGTCAGTTTTTTGACCCAAAAGTCACGGTACCCTAGAGCTTCTGTCAGGGTAACAGGGAAGAATGGTCAGACGTACGGCCTGATCACGCGCCGAGCGGATTGACGAGCGGGTATATCTGGTTCGATATCAGCATCCATTGTCACGGTCTTCATGGTCCTTTCAAAACCCAGATGAGACGCAGCATCATATGAGTCTTGGGACTGAGGAAACTCCGAATGTGAGATTTACGCGAAGAGGATACAGGCCATCGTGAAGGCGGCTAAAGGGGCCGTGATGGTCTATGGGGAAGGGGTGTGTTGTCAGTCAGGAGGTTTCTTCGGTGGGGAACCTTGTGTTTATCTTGGATTTTTCCCTTACCTTTGGTGTCAGGTTTCCCTTCTTCATCTTGTGAGCATCGCTCTATAACGGACGAGGTTATGTTTTGAAATGCGGTGCGGTTTGAGGTTTTGTGAGGAGTGAGGGTGAGTGGGATCATGGATGAGATGTGGATGGGCTGATTGTGGTTAGAGGATTGGGGACGTGGGGGTTATGCATGTATCCGGGACGGGGATGCAAATACAGGCATTGGAGTCGTGGCTTTGCGGCTGGAGGGATTGTTGGATCGGTTCCCTCCAGTTGTGTTCAGGCTTAAGATACAAAATGATGGAACTTTGAAAAGAAGTATGAAGTGATTGTGTTTCCAGTAATGGCATCGGTCGTTATGTGAGCGCTCCGTGGTAGTTCAAACTGGTCGATGTTTGGTGTAAGCATCAAGAGGCTTACGGATATTATGAATGACTGACACCAGGCAGCCTGGCTCACTTGTACCTACAAAAACTCGGAGGCAGCGCACAATGAGACACGCAGTCACAGTCTGGTCGAACTTGACAGCCCATTCAACTTCATCCTTTAATGATAAACAACTTTTTTATGATTCAGTGTGACGGTGTAAGGATCTTATGAAATGTGAGCAAAACGCCTTCACGTCAATGGGAGGGAATTATAGTGGACACATACGAGAAATCAGCTATTACAGTACTTTGGTGCGTCTGCTGAAGAAAAGTCAAAAAAGCCTAGACTGAGAGGCATTGGTAGAGACCATCCAAATCCGCAACACCACGGAATGCCCCAAAAACGCCAAAAGAGTGAGCTCGCGAGAGCTTCAAAATGACAAGAGTGGGATTCGAACCCACGCCAATTACTTGACTAGCACCTGAAGCTAGCGCCTTAGACCGCTCGGCCATCTTGCCTATGTGTAATCATTGAGGATGTCGGCTAGGGTGGGGTTCATGTTGGGCATCTTGCGGGTCGTGGTGGGCGGATCATGCCGCAACCAGACATCTTCAAAATCGAAAAGGGCTTCTGATGTCATCCCGGAGATTTGTCCGTAATCAGCAGCAACTTCTGTTCTGATCCCGGAGGCCAGTTGAGGTTGTCCATTAAACGACACGAGTATCTCACAAGCACCTTCACCCGCTTCATGAGGAATGGTTCTAACCGTCACCTCTTGCTCCGTACCGTCAGACAGCCGGATGTTGTGCGTAGCCGGAGTTGTGTTTGTCGTCAAGTACTCTGCTGGGCACAGTTATGATAGCGGCCAGAAAGGGCTCACATCGTAATAACCCCCTATGATCATACCCAACATGTCGATGACATCCGCGCACGACCTCGCTGTTTCATCCCATTCGTCGTCAAGTCGGTCGATGATCCATCTACCCATTTCATTGCCGTGATAGTTGAGCAAGGCTGCAAAGCGTCCGTGAGGCCCTGAAGAGGTCTTTCTAGCGAGGGCAGTGACGAGTAAGAATTTTTCGCCCGAATGGAGAGAGAAATGTAGAAAACGAACATCGTATATTCGGTGGACTGATTCCTGCTTGGCTTTGTCGAGAAAGACTCGATTCAGCCCATCCCAAAGCGCTTGAGGTTCTGCCTGGAAGATCTCGACTGGATTCCCGCCCAAGGGCCGGGTGTCAACAGAGATGAATATCGCGTTCTTGAATCTGGTACTTTGCAATTCCAAAGCTGCTTCGGAACTCAAGTGACATACTAGCTTAAGCGGCTTGGCTTTCATGTTGTATGTGTACATGACCAATTCCTCTATCTCTGGCAGGCTTGCCAAACATTGTCTCCGGCGAAGAAATGTTGAACCATAGTCTGATGGGCCATACTCTGCGGCCAGAGTCCACGGCTTATGACGTACAAAACCGGAAGGTATTTTCACAATCATAATGCCGATTGAAATCGAGTGACCGCCGTGATAGGTCCTTGGAGATGTTGACCCCAATGACTGTGAATCGAGGAAGTTGCGATGTAGCTGCATGATGTATTCTGTTTCGCCTCGAGAGACAACTTCTTGGTCGAAGCGCTCAGAGTAATAGAGCATAGTATTGATTGAAAACTTTTTTCTGGTCACGCCGACTTCAAAGTCGTCAGATAGCCTTGACATGTTGACCAGCTTGACGTCTGCGCATACACGGAAATCGGATGGGGATTTTGCAAGCAGTCCGCTGTATTCTTCTTGTCGTTCGGGGTCCGAGACTGTTGAGGTCCAGGCGAGTATAGATAGATCGTTTGTGTCTTGTAGGATCTCAGACTGCAGCCGCGCGAACGCTTTCTCGCCTTCGCCGTATAGTAAGGGCATGTTGATGTCGAAGATTCCAAGCAGGCAATAGGCAGAGTCCTCTGTCCGAGTAGTTTGGCGTTTCGAGGCCCAAGACATGCGAGTTGCGACGGGGACCTTGAGTAGAGGCGCCTTGCCAATGAGGATGGCCTCGTCGATGCCTGTGATGGACGACAAAAAGGGGGACAAAGTCTCCTTTGAACCAAGCAGCTGCCAGGACGCATTGTAAAAAGTGATAGTCTTTGGCGCAATCAGTTCTTGAAGAGTCCAACCCCGGGTAAACCAACGTGAAGCGGCCAAGTTTTCGAGGAACGTGGCCGAGCTAGCCAAGTCATTCACATCGGAGAGGAAGGCGAAACAGACAGACCCATGATCGGTTGTACCAGCGGGACATTGAATTGATAGCCTCGGATAGTTCAGCGCTCGACGTTTTGTCGATGCAGCAAGTATCGACCCATTCGTAGCTCAGGTCGAGGGACTTGGCCACTCGGCAAGTATTGTAAACCTTGAGGTAACCGTCCTTTTTCCAGACATCGTGGTCTCATTGGTATTTGAGTTCCCGGAAAGACGCTTCTTGGCTGCCCCAGGTATGAGAGAGGATGGCGTAAGGGAAGTCCGGCTCGATGAAGTCCTCCAGCTCAAGTGTATTGACGTTAATCAACCACATGGCTTAGGGGTACTTGCAGCCAAGTAGAGACAATGATATAGGGATGATGATTCGTCTGCAGAAAATGAGAAAATAGGCGTGCTCGCTGGCGAGAGTAAGGTGTTGTTAGTAGAGCGAAAGATAGACGAGCTTTCGCCGAGATTGTTGCCTCACTTGAGGCGTAGTTAAACCACAAGACAGAGCCAACGAATGAGAACTGCAGGCAGCAGTGGGAAAGATGTTGGCTTCTTGGAAGGTGCATATGCATCCACTCACTGTTGGAAGGCGCCGACGCAAGGCGCCTACTCCAGGGTCAGCTCCCGCCTGCCTCTCACATATTGGAGAAGGCAACGCTGGACATGTATACTCATGAGGTCGATGATGGCATCTCGAACCACTGACTTTGGATGGAGCAAAGTAAGATATAATAAAGAGATTAAGACGGTGGACGCAAAGCACGGTGTGTTAGAGACACAAGTGTCAATGACGGCTGGTTGCTCGGTGAGTGAGACAGCGTACTTAATCTCACATCGGTGACATCGGCTTTTAGGCCCAGCCATCTGGTGTGCCCCCACAGCAAGCCCGACGCCGGACGGGCACCAGAACGTGCGCTCCCTCAGAGGCTAACCTCACTAAGACCACAGGTCGGGGTCGAGGAACGCACGGGCAATGGTCGAAAAGCTTACTGGGCGATGGACCGGGTTGCGAAGACTTTCTTCACTCTTGAGAAGAGGGAAATGGCAGATGAGAGGTTGAGACGTCGGCGGCAGGGAAACAGCCGGGGGAACCCAGACAGGCAGATTCCGAGCCAGCACCCAGCAAAAGCAGAGCAATACAACGTTGACACGGCACCACCACCCCCGGTGCGCCCATGCCCACCAGAAACAGCAACGGCTAATACTACTGCTCGTGGAGACCCGAGCTTAATAATTAGGCTGAGCCAGACAGAAAGGAGAGACAGAAAGAGGAGAGGAAACTGGACGCGAGTGGGAAGGGAAGAGAGAGAGAGAGAGAGAGACACTGGACAGAGACAGACTGGGGGCGCCCGCACCCACACCAGCACCAGCACCAGCATCAGCACCAGCACCCGCGACGCACCGCACCGCACCGCCAAAATGCAGCAACGCAACACGGCAGGACATCTGCATCGCATCAGCCCCCTGGTCCCGGCTGAAGCTCTGGCCATGGCCGCCTGTGATTGGCTCATCTCGAGGACGTCCTCTTCGACCTCCTGTTTACTTCTCAACTTTCCTCGATTCCCGTAACCCCCTCCCATCTCTTGCAATTTCGCTCTATTTTCCCATCGCATCTTGATCGCATCACCAGTGCATCGCCGCTATTCAAGTCGCACATCCTTTGCGATCTCCCCCTTGTATACCTCTCTATACGAAGATACTTGTACCCACCGCACACAGCATACATCCCAGCTGCATCTAGACACCATGCCTGTCGAGCTTCGCAAGCGCAAAGCCCCCGAGCCTGCTCCGGCTCCGGCGCCCAAGAAGGCCTCGTCCAAGGTCGCCAAGGCGGCTGAGAAGGTCAAGGGCGCCGTCAAGGGCAAGGCCGAGAAGCCCGGCGAGAAGCCCGTTGAAAAGGTTGCCGAGAAGCCCGGCGAGAAGCCCGCCGCTGCCAATGGCTCTGGCAAGAAGGTCAAGGCGACAAAGGGTGAGACAATCGATCTCGACGGCTTCGGCGGCGACATTGAGACCAACGATGGCGAGAAGACGACCCTCAAGGAGCTCGTCGACAAGAGCAAGGCCGGTGTCGTCCTCTTCACCTACCCGAAAGCCTCGACTCCCGGATGTGAGTGTGTTCCTGCAGCGATATATGCTTGGTAATACCGACCTCTAGTCCGATCAACCATGCTAACGAGCTTCTGATATCCAGGCACCAAGCAAGCTTGCCTCTTCAGAGACTCGTACGAGCCGCTCACCAAGACGGGTTTCGCCATCTACGGCCTGTCTATGGACTCGCCCAAGGCCAATACCACCTTCAAGGAGAAGCAGAAGCTGCCTTACCCGCTGCTCTGCGACCCCAAGGCTACCCTGATTGCTGCCATTGGCTTGAAGAAGCCGCCCAAGAGCACTCAGCGCGGCGTCTTTGTCGTCGACAAGGCCGGCAAGGTCCTCATCGCCGAGCCCGGCAGCCCCGCGGGCACCGTCGATGTCGTCACGGCGCTGATTGAGGGCGGCGATGTTGACGGAGCCGAAGAGGCCGCGACCGAGGCCCCTGCTGCCGATGCCGAGGAAGAGGAGGTGGCCAACGGAAAGGTCAAGGCTGATGAGGAGAAGAAGGAGGAGGCCGCCGATGAGACCGAGAAGAAGGATGAGAAGAAGGACGAGTAACTAGCTCATGGCGCTGCAGTGTAAGTATAATTTTGTGACGGAAAATGCGTTTGCAATTGGAGGGCCTGGACAAAGCAAGGCAAGGTAGGATTTTCTTGTATTCGTATAGTAGCTGGGAATTGATTGTCTGGCGTTGGGGTTGTGCATTGCCTTTTTCCCATGGCTCATAGGCACATCCAAGATGCACGTCTTTGCGGTGCATTGCGAACTTGCGTGGCATCTTGACCCACGGCCGATTCAATGCGATGAACCCCCGGAAATTCCAGCAATGTAGCTTTACAAGGGGAAGTGGTGAAGTGGATACTTTGGTCCAAGAGCCGGCGGTGCTGGGTTGCAAATTCAAGCACGGCTATTGCTTCGACCGGCAAAACCTCGGCCCTCCGGTTCCTTGCCAGAAACTGGAGCACTCTCTCCCGTCCCCCGAATCAAGCTCAGGTGCCCGGAACGCTCACATCCAACCTCAAGCTGGTCATCGAACCGTTGCCAATCGAAACCCACCACCCCCCCCCAATCTCCCCTCCACCGTCTACGACGTCGCCAAAGATGGCCTCCAAGGCAATTGCGAAGGCTGCGGCAGGCGGTCTCGTGGAGATCTCCCAGGTACGACCTCAATTGATCCTGCGAAAAAGCCAGGGAAAACCAAACACCATCACGAACCATCACCACACACCCACACACCCACCCTCCTCCGAACTATTGAACGACCTCAATTGAGCAACAGTAGCTAACCTTGTCTCCTTCGCCCTCCTACAGAAGCACACCCTCCAGTCCACAGGCATCTGGGAACGCATCCGCCGCACCCTGGCAATCGACCCCAACCGCTCCTCCGGCGTCCCCTTGAACCCGACCTTCCGCAACCCGACACCGGGCGCCAACGACCCCTTGGCCTACGACGACCCCGTCACCGTCCCCGCGGGCGACATCGCCGACAACCCGTACTGGAAGCGCGACGCCCGCCGCAACTACCCGGCCATCAGCGTCGTCAACCAGGCCGACGTCGTGGGCCTGCTGGCCGTCGGCTCCGCTGCCAACCCTCGCGTCGAGCTCATTGGCGAGGCGGGCGAGAAGGCGCTCGTCGTGGCCAAGGAGGAAGGAAAGGCCACGGGTATCGCGGCGTACCTCGAGAAGAATGCGGCCCAGGGGGCTGTGGAGGCGAGCAAGGAGGCGCTGTTTACGAATGGGCTGCCGCCGACGCCGAGTGGTGAGGATTTGAAGAGTGGAAAGTGGGATGTGCACAAGTACAAGGTCAACGAGGACCAGTCCTACGGCGAAGGGTGAGTTTTTTCTGTTCCTTCTTATGTTTTGGGGGTTTTTGGATTTCTTGGGGGGGGGGGGGGGGGGAGGCCTTTTTGGTGATGACGAGGAATGATTTTGCTAACTGTGAGTGAACAGCTACCCTTGCCGGACTTTTGCGTAAACGTTTGGGATCGCGGGTTTTGCTGTACAGGAGAGAGAGAGAGAGAGGAGGGACAATTGTAAATATGAAGGGCACTAGATTCCATTGAAACGTTTTATTCCATTTCAAGATTTTCAAAAGAGTCGATCTCAAGAGATCTCTGTGCTATTCTACCTACTGGGTATCTTATCCCGTCCTCATGATGCAGCCGTTGCAACAAACGTCAACGACCACCAACCAAAACCGGCCATGCTTTCATTAGAAAGACAACAACGAAGGATCTCAAATCTCCTTGGCCTCCGGGACCTTCACATAAGCAGCAGCAGCCTCTGGCGCAGAAACCGCCTCACCCGTCATGCGCTCAATAATCTTGACCTTGCCCTGCGCCCTCTTCAACCTATCATCAAAGTCGTTGACGGCCTCGTCGCTGTTCTCCTTGGATAGCGTGTCCGGCTCGACCAGCGCAAACGCCGTCGTGACGTTCTTTTCTAGTCTCGCGTTGGATGCCAGCGGCGGTAGGGAGCAAGTCTTTTGTGAATTTGATGACTCTGTTGATGGGTGAGGTTGTTCGGCCGAGACCGAGGCCGCCGCCGAAGAACCGGAGCTTAGAGACTTTGCCGTGGTGGTGGTGCTGCTGTTCTTCTGAGGCAGGGAAAGTCTGTTGGCCCATACGACGGCGCGGGCGTGTATCCTGCCGCTCTCGTAGAATTTCTCGTAGCCCTTTGCGAGGCCGACGGAGCGGCCCTCGATTTTGCCTGCTTGGATGCCGTCTTGGGTGCCTTGGCGGAAGCCTTCTGAGAAGAATTGGTCTTCTAGGGTGAGGACGTCGTCGAAGGGGTCGAGAGACATGGTTTTGGGCGATGAGTTTTGGGGGAAAGAGAAACAACGAGACTAGTCTTTTCAGTTTTTGAGTGTTCTTTCCGGTTGTAAGTCGTGGTGAGTCTTGAGTTGTTGAAGTTGAGGGTTGATGGAGGGGTGCTTTGAAATGGTGGCGGGGCAAAATTGTGAGGTTTGACTCAGCGGTTTTTTTGCTAGTGGTTTACACCTGTATGTTTCGACACTCGACTTTCACGGACTTTGATAATGAACAGCCCAGCGACACGAAATGACATACTTATGGATCAAGTTTTATATCTATGGAAAGAAAAAGTGTTACTCAAGAAGTTAATGAAGTTTAAGAAACTCTAATTCAGCGGAACCTGGGGAATCAATTTCTAAGTCTACCTCATAACTAACACAGCAAAAACCCCATCATACGGCCCATGATTCAACGCAGTAAGTCACGTCTATATAACTGCCCATCTACTGCAACCCGAAAAACATACCGCCATTAGCGCAAACAACCTGTCCCGTACACCACGCAGAGTCCGCAGAGACAAGCATGCCCACAATACCCGCAATCTCCCCAACATACGCCGGCCTCCCGCCCTCCTCCTCGGCGGCCTTGACAAGCTCATCCGAGTCGATGCCCTGCCTCGCCTTCATCAGCGGCGCGTGCTCGATAAAACCCTTGATGAAGCGCTTGAACTCGGGCGTGTTGCCCGCGTACATTTCGGTGAGCACGGGTCCCGGGTTAATGGCGTTGACGGTGGCGTTCTCGCTGAGCTCGCGGGCCCAGGTGCGGGTCATGGCCTCGAGCGCGGCTTTGGTGCCGCCGTAGACGCTCTGTTCGGGGAAGCCGGCGGAGGAGCTGACGGAGGACATGTTTACGATGCGGCCGGAGCGGTCGGTGGGGAGGTAGGGCTGGACGGCTTGGGTTAAGAGGAGGGGGCCGAGGACGTTTACGCGGTAGGAGACGTCGAATTGGGAGACTGTTATGGAGGGGAGGAGGTTGTTTTGGGCGACGCCTGCGTTGTTGATGAGGATGTCGATTTGGAATTTCTTGGTGTCGTTGTTGGTCTTTTCGAAATGCGATTTTGCGGTTGCGACGAGGGATTGGGGTCCTTCGGGCGTGCCCATGTCGGCTTGGACTGCGAGGGTTTGGATGTTGTGTTTTGTGCTGAGGTCTGTTGCGAGTTGTTCGGCTGGGGATTGGGAGGAGGGGGAGGTGTAGCCTAGGATGAGGTTGCAGCCTTTTGCGGCGAGGTGCTCGGCGATGGCGACGCCGATGCCTGAATGGGGATGTGTTAGACGGTGTCTAGAAGCTTACGAAGCTTGTGGCTATGAAAGCCTTACCTCGAGAGGCGCCGGTCACGATTCCGAGCTTGCCATCGAGGGAACGAGACATTGTGATGGAGCTTTTGACCAGTCGTTGGCGCTTCTTATGAACTGGTTATTGTTGAAAGCAGAGAAAGGGAGTAGGAATGTGGTTGCAGTATCAAAGAAGGGAAGACGACAGACAGAGAGGAGGTCAGTAAATGTTCACGATGAGAAGAGGACGGGAGCCCAGGGACGGGTTTCTTATAAGCTACATACTAAGACTACGGAGTACGGATACGTTACTTTACTCAGGGACTGGAAACCCTACCTTACCGACCTTACCTTAGCCAAGCAGGGTTCGATTGTCCCGAATCGGCAATGCTAGCAGCTCTCGTGACCCGTCAGAAAGTGTTGAGATCCCGCCCAATGGAAGCTCGTGGCGGGCTACCATTACCTTACATTAGATCTCACGAAGACGCGGTCGGTGTTTCTGGGTGAAAGCTACCCCGCTATCGCAAGCTATGCGCTGGAGTTTTGTGCCCCGCGCTCAGTGGGCATCCCACACCCAGCACACCCCCCCCACGTCATTCTCCCGCGCCAATCCCGGGCCTTGGGCTGGACGCCGCCAGGGGGCCACGATTTTTTGGTGGTCCTGGATCATCGTGGATTCGCGCTTCACGTTTGAGAACCATGAGGGTTCTTTTATGGACTGGGCATTCTGTTGGACTGATGGTGTGTACTTGTATGTTTACGAATGTCCAAGTGATATGAGGTTGAGTCCAGAGCAAAGTCCGATATCACCGCAGAGTCGAGAGCGGTCCGGCTTACCCGTATGCACGTACAAACCTCTATCAGTTGCATAAAGCTCGTGTTCTAGTATCTTATTAATGAGAGATCATATCTTCTCGAAAGAATATGAGGAAATTTATGCACACTTTCATAGATCAAGGTATGCTGGTTAAGGGTCCTTCTTGCAGTCTTAGTAATTGTAGACTACGAGTAAGTTAAACGGCGAAGCTTTTTTATTATGCTAGGATGTAGAAGAATTAGGAGATAGTCAGTATAGGGTATATTCGGCAGCGTTTCCAATAGCCATTTCTCTGAGTAGTACTTTCGAAAGATGAAGAGCAATAGAACCTCGTACTAAAGATAGAGCATTTCGGATGCATTCTCATGCTTCAAGTTATCTGAGTTGGGTGCACTGCTTGCATAGTCTGAGCTAACCATCCCAAGCGACTTTTGAAAGACCACACATGAATAAAACTTTCCTGTCTTGTTTCCAGCCCGGAAAGACTGTAGAGATTGCATAAAAATACAATGTTATGTTCAGAACATGAGGGACTTGTGATGGTCCTGTAGACACGGAAAAGTTATTGTTCATCGTAAGCTGTTGTATCCCTAGCTCATACACAAAGACCTGAGCTGAGCATCTGGCGGGGCAGTTTTGAGCGACGCTCGGAGCCTTGTGCGGCGGTGGTGGGGTTCTCGCAGCCACCTCATGGTCCAACGACCAGGGTCTTTCCAAAAGTCTACACCACACTCCCCTCCTCAGCGTCTCCCATCGCGAAATCAACCTACCACCACACGCCCTCGCCTCTTCAGCCTCGCGCTCACAGCTCCCCAACGTAAAGCCGGTTCAACCTCGTCCGTATCGACCGACCCGTCCGTTTACTCACAGCCCACGACCCAGACACAAACCGCCCACCATGGATATCCGCCTCCTCAAGCCCGCCGACCTCCCCCTCATACAGCATGCCAACCTCGAGAACCTGCCCGAGAACTACTTTCTAAAGTACTACCTCTACCACGCCCTCTCCTGGCCCCAGCTCAGCTACGTCGCCGTCGACGTCTCCCGCCCCAAGCGCACCCCCTACGACTACCCCAAGATCGTCGGCTACGTCCTCGCCAAGATGGAGGAGGAGCCCACCGACGGCGTCGCCCACGGCCACATTACCAGTCTCAGCGTCATGCGCACCCACCGCCGCCTAGGTATCGCCGAGAAGCTGATGCGCCAAAGTCGTACGTTTCCCTTCCGACTCTTTCCCACTGTCACCAGGCTCTTTGAATTGTAATTATCACTGACATCCACGACTGCAGAACTCGCCATGGTCGAGACCTTTGGCGCCCAATACGTCTCCCTCCACGTCCGTGTCTCCAACAACGCCGCAATCCACCTCTACCGCGACACCCTCGGCTTCAAGAACGAAAAGACGGAGAGCAAATACTACGCCGACGGCGAGGACGCCTACTGCATGAAGCTCGACCTGAGCTACATCCGCGAACAGATCCAGGACGAGCGCGACCGCGAGGAGGAGGAGGCGGCAGACGAGGGCGAGGCCGTGGGCGACGTCGGGCGCGATCCGAATGCGCCTGCGTCCACCACCACCGCTGCCGCTGATAAGAAGCGCAAGGTCAAGGTCGGTCGCGGGTTGGGTGTGGGCGAGCTTGTTGAGAAGAATGAGAGTCAGAATTAAGGGGGCCCTTCTTTGGGGAAGAGTTAGCCGGATTTTTTTTCTTTTCAGAAAGTCCTGGCTACTCGATGGCTTGCTTGGTGAAGAGCGGGCGGGCATAGATTTGCTTGCTTTCCAACCTTTGGGACAGCGTAGCCGTGGGCGGGAAAGCCAAAAAAAAAGGAAGAAAAAAAGAAAAGAAAAGGCAATGGTACTTTGACAGGCTGATGACACAGCTATCCAAGGCTTGACCACCACGTCGTTTCGAAAGCACAGTTGCAAGTTCTATTTCCGATGGGTGTGTGTGGTCTTTTGTCAAAAAAGAAGTGCAAGATGAGCCTTTCGATACTGGGCAATGTAGCCAGCATTTGGATGTGGAGTTCAAAAGCCTCATATGATCGGATCATGTTCATGACTGGGTTTACGGCGCATCATCACGGCAAAAGCAGAAGAGTAGACGAGGCATCAGCGGGATCAGATGGAAGCAAAGACTAGTTTCCCTTTGCTGTATCTCTACAGATTACTATATGTACCGATTTGTTCCCCCTGAATCATACGGCCCCCTACATATGTGTACGTACCTAGCTAAGGTAGGAATTGATGTGTGTCTGTCAATGTGTGGACTGTCTACCACCCCCCAGACTTCTGGTCCTCCGCCGCCAACTCCCTTGCAAACTCGGCATCCGCCTCGACCTTGAGCTTCTCGATATTCCTCGACAACTCGTCAATCTCTAGACGTTGCGTATTCTCACCGCCGCCTCTTCCGCCGCATCCCCCGCCACGACCACGGCCCCGGCCCCATCCTCGACTACCGCCGCAGCGTCCTCTTCCGGGATTGGTATCCCGCATCTCCGTCCTTACTTTGTCTAGTTCTTCTACCCTCCTGACAATATCCCTCTCCATCTCCTCAACCGCCTTGAAAAGCGCCTGGGAGGAGGGCGGCACTGGTGTAGACGGCGTGGAGGTCATGCCACCGCCGCCGCCAATGCTGGGGCTCCTGTTCCCGGCTGCTGGCACTGCCGGCACTGCTGTGACGGGCCATGCTCCGGGCAGTCCTCCCCAGGGACCAGGACTAGGACCAGGAGGACCATTGCCGACGCCTGGATAACCACCCGGCATGGACCCTCTACCCGGCCCTGGAGGTCCCCACGGCATGCCCCAGACGTTCGGCACTGGGGAGGCGTTGTTGGGGAAGTTTGGGATCGGGGGAGTGCCGTGTACCACGGGCGGCGGGGGAACGTGGACACCCATCGGCGGAACAAACACTCCCGGCCCACCCCACGGGGCCGGTCCGGGGCCGTGGTGCTGGTGCTGCTGATGCTGCTGGTGCTGCTGATGTTGTTGGTGCTGCTGTTGCTGTTGCTGCTGTTGTTGAATGTGTCGACGCTGCTCTTCTTGATGTCGTCTTTGCTGCTCTTGATGCTGCCTTTGTTGTTCCTGATGTTGTCTCTGTTGTGCCTGGTGCTGCTGCTGCTGCTGGTGTCGTTGGTGCTCCTGCTGATGCCGACGTTGGTGATCATGGTGATGAGGATCTCCTCCCGGTCCACCACCACCATCACCGCCGCCGCCGCCCCTCGGCAGTTCCCTCTGCGCTCCCCTCTGCTCGCGTCTTGCCTCCCTATTCTCTCGCCTGCTCTCCCTTCTCTCCTCCCTCCGCTCCCTCTTCTCCTCTTTCCTCCTCGTGCGGCGTTCCTTCCGCTTCTCCTTGCGCGTGGCCCGCTGCTGGCGCTTGAGTTTGCGCCAGTCTTGCGTGATGCTTCTGATTTCCGCTCGGAGCGCTTTCTCCTCTGCCTTTTTCGACGCAGCGGTGGCGGCTGCTGTTGCTGTATCTTCTGGCCCTTTCTCTGGTTGCTTCTGAGGTTGCGCCGCCGCCGAAGAGCCCGCGGAACGTATGTCCTCGCGGAGCTGCGCAATGTCATCTTTCGTGACGGGCTGCTCTGGGTGAGATAGCCAGGAGGTGATGCGCTGCTTGTAGATGGGCAGTTGTGAGGGATAGAGGTCTTCGTAGTCTGGCAGGGAGCCAACGGAGGATGCAGAGGATGCGGAGGAGGATGAGACGGAGCGCTGGTCTGAGGGGTACCGGCCGGGAGGTCGACCGCGGGCTGCTGCTCCGCCACCATCCCCACTCTCATGGCGTGCGTGTTGTTGTTCTGGGCCACTGCCTTGGAAGAAGAGATGCTGCGGGTTCGGGTGTGGAATGATCGGTGGCTGAGGGTGAGGCAGTCCGGTCGGGGGGAAGGGTCCTGGAATATGGCCGGGACCGCCAAACATCGGCACCGGTGGCGGGCCTGGAGGTGCGGGCGGCGGCGGAGGAGCCCATCCGGGTCCGGCATAGTGCGCTTGCGCGCGCGGCGTGGTGGTGCTCCCGAACCTGATGCCGTTCTCGTCCGCAATGAGGTTCCCTACTCGGATACCATTGCTGCCTGCGACAATACGGTCGCCAATGTTAATGCCGTCCGTCGAGACGGTGATGCCGCCAAAGCTCCAACTGTTCCGGTCATTAGAGCCGGACTGCGGTTGCTGCTGGGCTTGCATCGTGGGAAATTGGCCGGGATGCGCAGGGAACGGTACAGGCGTGGGACCGCCGCTGCTACTGCCACCACCGAGACCAAGATCGCGATCGCCGCCTCCGATGGTATGGTTCTCGACATTTCTGTCAAAGGACTGGTCCCAAGCGCCTGGCATGTGTAGGTCCTCCTCTGCCACCTCGGGCACCAGCGTGATGAGCATGCCCCTGGGCCGGAAGAACCCTTCGTTCCACTGCGCGACCACACCCTCCGCTTCCTCCCTCCTCACGCCCAGAGCAGCGGCCGCCGCGCCTGGATCGGTGTCCTTGTCCGCGCGGATCTGGTCCAGTTGCGCCGAGGCGTGCGCGCTGCTGCCGCTGTTGCTCTGCCCTGTACCGCTTCCATCCAATGTGGCAGCGGCGGCAGCAAGGGCCTCCTCCTCAGCCTGAAGCTTACGGTCGATGATGGCCTCGTTCCGTGCCGCGGCGTGGTGCGGGATCAGGCAGTTTGTAAATGTCGCCCAGTCCTGCTGCGTGACGTCGCGGGGGGCCCATGCCGGAGAGTAGGGCACGTCGTCCGGTGTCGAGCTCGGGGTGACGGTCAGTGCGTGGACGAGGAGGTGGTCCCTGGGTGACGGGGCGAGTCCCGCGGGCGCGGGCCTGGATTCGAAGTAGGATGCCGTGAACTCCGAGTACGCTGATGCCGATGCCGATACTGACCCCGAAAGAGACTGAGATTGATGGGATCCCCCCCGGTTGCCGCGAGAGAGCGACTGGTGAGGTCGAGGCTTGCATTCGAGCTGTGATGGTGAACACCGCCGCCGCCGCCGCCGCTGCTGCCTGGGCCGCCGGTGCGGGGTGTCAATGGCGGGGTGTAGATGACTTCGCTGTGGGATGAGGCATGCGAGGAGCCGCGCGAGGCGGCATCGTTGGTGCCATGATGGGACGAGACCTGAGGTGAATTTGAGGGCGGGTTTGATGGCCGGCCGGAGGTTGAGTAGATGTCGGTCTCGGAGTACGGCGGAGGGGGGACGTCATCGAGTTCGGGGTCTCGCATGGCCGCCATTCGCGGTGGGTACCTTTGCTCGGTGCGAGGTGATGTTATGTGAAGCTAGGAACAGAGCTGTCGAGGTTGGAAGATGTTTGCTTCGCGACGATCGTTAGGTTATCAAATTGTCTACTAAACTGGTGGGGTCTAGTTGAAGAGAGTAGGTTGTTTGCAGTGAGAGGTGAGATTAGAGGAAGCCAAGGTGAAGAAATCCAAGACTTTGGTAAACGGCACTACGGCACATGGATGAAGAAAGTGTGGGAATACAAGGCACTTTGATGAGCCTATTAGCTACCTTAGCTGTAGTTGTAGCTTGGCTGGGCTGGGCTGGGTTGGGCCTTCTGTTGGCCGTTTAACTCAATCCTCCTCTCCTCTCCTCCCCTCCATCATCTTTCCCCAAATCCCAAGCTTGCAAGAACAAATGGCCATGCTTTCCCACTAGCGAACCTCTGACCATTTTGTCCCCTCGTTCGCGCGTAGCCTTACGACGTCTAATTCCCACCCGTCGAACGGTGAACCACAGTTCGTCACTCAATAGAGAGGGCCGGGGTGTAAACCCCACACCCTCGGGAGCCCAAGCGGTGCGGCCGAGCCCACGCCAGGTAAAGATAAGCATCAACCTTGTTTGTGGATGACCCCTGCGGTCCACGGCGCAGTCAAAAGTTGCGAGGGGCACGCGTTTGTTCGCAAACCCGATTGTTCAAGGTGTCCCCTCCCCCAATGAGAAAATAAGCCACCGAAAAGTCGAAGCCTGGATGAGAACAGCCCGCAGTCACTTTCTTCGAGAAGGCTCTCTGTGCTGCAACGCGCTGACGCGGCCCCTTCGGAGGCAGCAATACGCCATCAGTGTGATCCCTCCACATCAAGCCACATAAGCCTGCAATCCAGTGGGTCTCTCTCCCATGCCGTTGGAAACGCCGCCACGACCTTTTGAGCTTGTGTTACCCCTCTAAACTGAACGCCATGCTCCGGAACCAACCGACCCTAGCCCTAGAAAGAGCAGTGGCCCAGGACTGAACCGCGAATTAGTATACTTGTACAGAACCCAGGCTGTGCATGCGCCGGGATAACATTCAATGACTGAGCCAGGGCTGAAAGTTCGCTTTCGTCTTCGGGCCACGAATCATTCCCACGGCCGCGGACGCCGCTGTCGCGTCCCCGGCAGCGTTAAGCGTGCTAGGCTTTCCCTAGAAAAATATTCCAGAGGCAGTACTCATCGGTCAGCCTCGGTGCTCCAGAGATGGAAGTCGACGTCCTCTGGCTTGTAGTGATCCGCAATGATGGTAGACAGATGGTTCCGCGAGTGTGCGCCACTGTGTAACATGTTAGCTGTGGCTCACCAACATCGTACGTGGGACTGTTGACTTACAGGTTGGTGATGTAGGTGTCGAGCAGTTCGGGAGGCACAAATTCACTAACTGCGCTGCGAACGTCGACACCGTTGACCATGGCTCCGTCTGCGAAGCTGACATGGCCCATGGAGCTTCCCCATTCCACCAGGCTCTCCTCGTCAAAGTAGCTCTCTGGGCAGAGCTTGTAGACACCACTGAGGATGGTCACCGGGTTGCCCTGCTCCTTTGCTGCGCGCGCAATCACACCAGCGCCCGCGTCTGTCAGGATGCCGCCGTTGGCCAGGACGGCTCTTGCTCCCAGAATCACCTTGTTGATTCGGGGCATGTAGGCCATCAGACCGCTGTTGAGGAGGTTGATTGCGCTAATGCCCGCTGCTGACAGCTTCTTCCTGAACGATGCGTACGGCGACTCACCACCGGCGCAGGCAGCTGTTCCGGCGGCGATAAATAGGGTGAACTTTCTTCTTGTAGCAGCGCGCAGGATGAACTTCTGGACCGTGGCTGAAGGCTGGTGCACCAACACGTAGTCCCCAGGGTGAATCTGAACATCCGCGGCTCCTGCAATCTGGTCGTCCACCTGACCAATCTCGTCCTTGAGCTCCTCGATACCCTCACAGACCTCTGATCTCAGAGCGTGTACCTTAGTCGACTGTCCACGAAGGGGAGTCGAAGCGCCAGAGTCCTTGCCAAACGGCGATCCGGCCATAATGCCAGCAGTGTCCACTGGGGGTGACGCCTCGAGGAGAGAAAAGAGAGACTTTGACACATGAAAAGAGCTCGCGGATGTGAGGAAACCGGGGCGAACGGGTCTTGGGCCGCTCGTGATATAGTCGGAACCGGCATCCTGCTTGGTATATGTAGAGGGAGGCCATTGGTGCTCCAGCTTGGAGGGGTCGGGCACTGCTGTCGTCGGGGTTCCTCCAACTTCTGTGGCAGTCTCGCTGAAGTCCTCGTTTCGGTCTTCGGCAGCCTCGTCTCGGATCAGGCTCAACACGCGTCTAACGATGTTGCCAACGACTAATTCCTTGGGCTGCGCGGCGATGAGGCGCAATCCGATCTGCTGTACCTTCTCCAGCAACGAATCGACGTCGTTCCATTTCGACTTGGCGACGACCTGGAGGAGAATGTGTGCGGTCGCGACGGCGCAGAGCTCGGAGCCCTGGATCTGCCTTCTTTTCAGGAGACTGGTAAATTCAAGTATTAGCGCGGGCAAGCCAAAAGAGAGAAAAAAGGAGTATAAGGCCGGCAGGATACGTACGAGATAAGACTGTCAATTGACGCTTCCAAGGGCTTACCCTTGAGGGTTTTGAGGTACCGCTCGAGGTCCCCCGCGCTGGGCTTCACGGTAGCCATTTTCGGTGGTGGGTGCTGTCGCCGAAGTCAAGGTCCGATGATGGGAGGGGGGAGTCGTCGCAAAGACTTTTCGGGATTGATCGATGACGGTTGCTGAAGTCGCAGGAGATTCCGAAATGGTAATTTGGTCGTCTTCAGTCAATGCACAATGGGGATGTACCGATCAATGGCCGTTGGTCTGGCTTTGGGCTTGGACTGAATGGAGAATTGGAAATTGTGCGCAAACGGCTGTGACTCAACTGTGAAGCTCGGAGAGGGACAATGAACGACCCCTGTCACGCTAAAAAAATCTCGAGGGGCATTGGATGACCACAAGCTCCGTCTCACACCTCCCTAACCACTGGAGCCAGCTGGCAGCAGTAAGTGGCAGCCCTCGACGGCGGGCTAGTCTTGGCCCGAAGCAACCCGGCTGAGAGGGACACCCGTGGACCTCCAGGTGTCCCCAATGATGCCTCAGTGGAAGCACTCAACTGCTCGAGTACCCCTCCATCACTGCAAAATGACGTTTGCCCGCTGAATTTCTGCTGTGAGTGATGCGTTAGGGGCATCAAGCGGTTGGCTATGGCACTGCGAGCTGTCCGTCATCTACCAGGTTGACAGAAACCCTGAGGTTCCTTGCTCTTGGGTTGAACATGCCCTGGAATGTCATCAACTGCTGTGTCGATTTTTTTTTTACGTCGTTATACCATCAATTGCTACAGGTAATCTATTCGTCTGGAATCTAATTACATTTCGGCTTACCTCTGACTTTCAAGGTGGCTGTCTAATGGTAGTTCACACAAGTGCTTTTCTTATTTTATTCTTCTTATTTCTTATTGCTTAGAGAACCGACTGCTTGACCATAAGTTGCGCCAATTATAGTTCCGTTGAATCAAATGAGGGGAGCCAGAACGATGGTGTCCTTGGTTAACATGGCTTTGTCTAGATGAGTTATGGGAGTGCGTTTGCGATAGTACCACCTTTACAGATCTCAGAGTGTACTAAGTTGAGAGTAGGCGCAGAGGCATATCTTATCTACCACAATTACCTATGACATGCTAGCCAAGGTGAAATTGCTTTCTTTACCCCGACTCTCCATGAGAGCTTTTTCTCCTGTGGCCTCCTTGACATTAGGTATCACACATAATGTGGGAAAGCTAGCTATGGCAGAAAACAGTATTGTGAGTTTCCGCAGGTCATGTTCCAAGCTACCACTTGGGTTGTGAGTTGAGTCTGTAAAATGAGCCATCCAATTGACGTCTGAGAAGCAACCACACTCAACATGGCAGGGCACTCGTACGAGTATCGGACGACAGAAAGCATCTCTTTGTTAGTGGTGTAGACAACAATCGTGTATTTTGATTGCGAGACTCTTGAATTTGTGAAATGTATCCGTTGCGTCCCAGTTCAACGAGGGGTTTTCTCTGCGATAGGCAGAAGGGTCCGCCTGGGCTTGGGGACGAGAGACGAGAAGAGCGAATGGTTGAGCGGCATTTGAACACGGATACGAAAAGTGAGGGATCGGAATTGCGAGGCCAAAAGGAGGCCGTATTCCGCCAAAGGTTTGGATGCTGCTGCAGAGCGCAGAATTGCGGCCTCCGATTCATGCCCTGTCAGACCTGCCTCTGTGCAATCAAACCCTCAACAACGACAGCAAAAGTGGAGTGGCTCTCTTTCACATGGGAAAAGAAGAGCACACAGTTCCAGATTACAGGCAGAGAGCAAGGTAGCTCGGTATCGGCTCATGGACGTTTTCAATCTTTTTCACACAAATCCTTGCCATTACGAGACCCGATACCTGTGGTGGGAAAGATGCCTGCTGGAGATGGAAAAATAAGGGACATATGACAGTGCAGGAAATAGTGTGGATGAAGAGATCAACTGATTCATACTCAAGGATTGCTAGGTATCCCACTCTCATCCTGTCAGTTTGTGTTGGGGAAGCACAGAAGGTACCTTACCTTTGAATGAGGTGGGCTGAGGTACATCCATTACGTAGCCGCTTGGCAGCAGCTGGCCCGCTCATCACCCACGTCCTGCATCTCCAAAAAACTGCAACAGCGAGTGGAAAGATGAGGCGGAATGGGAGAGATAAAATGTCCAGTGGAACAGAGTGAACAATTCGACACGTGAACCCGTCTTCATTGCCCATTCCTCCACAAGGGTCAGCAGTCAGTGTAACCCCACGGTCAGCCCTGGACCAATACCGTCAATACCGGCCGGCATCAAACCGTTCTTGCGGCTTGCCATACCTAGGATCCCAGTGCCACCACGGTCCAACCCGGCCAAACCCAGCAGATTTCCATAGTGTTGAGCTGCTGCTGCTTCTGCACCTACCTCCAGTTACTGCAGTCTGCTGCTCCCCTCTACTTGCTCAGGTTCCCTTCCGCGGCTTCCACTCGCGCCTCTACCTCACCTCACCTCACCTCACCTCACCTTGCTTTAACTATCCGTACCTGGGTACTGGATTACTTGCCGACACCTCCAATCACAGACCAGGCCACTGTCCTTTTCATCCATTGCCTTAACGCTACCGCATCCCGGCCGCCTCGATACCTCCAACTCTCGAAAGCCCGACTAACCCTTTTGCGTCTTTCCTCCCCTCTCAAGGTCTCAAGGTCCAATCGACAGGTTTGCGCTGACGGCCACATATCACTTTAGCGTCTGTTAGCTGTCGACGGACGAACCTTTTACACCAGCGCCACCACCTCGCGCTTTCATTTTCCTAGGCCTCGTTCGCTCATGGCAAGCTGATTGTTGCCGTTCTTTGGACTTGGGGGGAAACCCATCTGGACAGCCCACCGGCTTGCATTCCCCGACTACGAACACGACCACGACCACGACCACGACCACGACCACGACCACGACCACGACAGACCTCATCGAGCATCTCAACCTCACGCAATCCCACCAAACACCAAAGATCAGGGACACCCTTTTGAGACGACAGTCAATCCTACACTCGCTTCTTCCAACTGCGGTGTTTCCGAAATACTCGCTGGACGCCCGTTTCTCCTGACGCGACTGCTAATACATCGCCTCCTTCGTCGCGCGGAACGTCTGGAACATTCCTGACCACCGAAACCACCCCTTACTATCGACCCTCGACGTCTCCTAAACCCTCCCACTCCCGCATCACAACCCGCCGTCGACCCTCCATGCCTCATGGATTGCATATCCTATCAAAGATGAACTCCCTGAATATCATCACCTCTCGCGTCTCTCCGCCGCCAAGTCCGGTCGCCTCGCGATCCAACTCCATTGGTTCCTTGGGATTGGCCGTCCAACCTGACAGCGACCAGCATGGCGGCGAAGGCGCAGAGAAGCAGGGCGACGACCAAGACGAGGATGTCTTCCCCCTCGAAAAGTCAGCTTTCGAACAGCGCAACGACGCACATGGAGCACTCGATCTTGCAAGCGAAGCTACGCCGTTAATAGGAGGAGAATCGAAAGAAGCAGGGTTGAGATCAACTTCGTGGCACTCATTGCCTCGGCGCATCGCTGCTGGCTTCATCAACTCCCTCCGTTGGGTGCTATCCACCCTTGCCGCCCCGGGCGTGTATCTGATTGCCTGCCTTTACGACGACGCAGGGGATTTCTCGCCCTTTTACCCGCTTAAAAGGCTATTTGGCTTGCACAATAGAAACAACAAAAAGCTCGCGACAGCCTTTGCTGGTTCAGTGGACGAAAAGTCGGGCCGGCAGGGCAGCGCCGGATATGGAGGGGTTGCGTACTCAAGACCAGTGGGATCATCAGGTTCATCTTCTTCAGGCATATCTTCAGAATCAGACTCGGACGCCGATCGCCGACGCCGGGGCTCGTCCGGTCGACACTCACGTTCAAAGTCTGCAGCGGAAGAGATTGCGCCAGCGCGGAGATCTATTCGTATCAAGCTACACAGTGAGGATGCTCTTCCGCAACGCAAGCACCGAAAGACGCAATCTGCGGCGGCACGGCCCAAGGGTAGTGGTGAATCTGGCTCTTCCGACATTTCCGCGCAACTCAAGTCTCCGACGTCTCCCGCAGGCGCGCTGACGAGATACCCAAAGACACCGGCCCCTCCTCGACCCTTGATTCCTCGACGACAGCCGTCATACCTGAACCTAGAGCCTTCAACCGACCCCAAGTACCAAAAGACTCTCATTCTGGACCTCGACGAAACTCTGATTCACAGCATGTCCAAGGGGGGGCGGATGAGTACGGGACATATGGTTGAGGTCAGGTTGAACCAGACATACGTCGGTGCTGGAGGCCAAACATCGATCGGACCGCAGCATCCCATTCTGTACTGGGTTAACAAGCGTCCACACTGCGACGACTTCCTCCGTCGGGTAAGAACAGCCTAAGATGACTGAACGAGTGCTTGGCGCTAATCGTGTGACGAAGGTTTGCAAATGGTACAACCTCGTGGTTTTTACGGCCTCGGTCCAGGAGTATGCGGACCCCGTAATAGACTGGTTAGAGGCAGAGAGGAAATTTTTCTCGGCGCGATACTATAGACAGCACTGCACATTCCGACAGGGAGCCTTTATCAAGGACCTTAGTTCGGTCGAGCCGGACTTGAGCAAGGTCATGATCTTGGACAACAGTCCATTGAGTTACATGTTCCACCAAGGTGTGTCATGCTGGCATGCGGTCCAGGCTGGGGAATTTGGCTAACATGCGTTGCTAGATAACGCCATCCCAATCCAAGGCTGGATTAACGACCCGACAGACAATGATCTCTTGCATCTAGTGCCGCTGCTCGAGGGTCTCCAGTATGTGTCGGACGTGAGGGCGCTACTTGCATTGCGCGGAGGCGAAGATGGTCAGCATATGGCGTAGAATTGGGTTGGGACTGTAGAAGGAAACCTGGTGTACTGGCATGGAATTGGCAAAGCGAAACACACCAGCGGCTTCAACTTCGTGGTGCAGCGCTGTATTAATAACATTTGGTAAAGGGATCGGTAAGAGGAGTTATTGGGCGGCACGACTGCCAATGTAGGTACGATTCTGTAAAGCTTCAGGAATACATGCCAGGCCACCAGCCTTTTTGTCGGTTGCCGACGTTCAGCGAAAAAGCATGTATTATGTGCAAAACGTAGCGATGGTGTTTCTGGGTGGTTGAGGTTGTTTTTTGGACAATGGTAAGGTTGACATTCATTGAGAACTGGAGAACGTTGAGCAATGGCGAGCTACCTAGACGATACTTCCGATATTCCGTATTTCCTTACCTTGTGCCTGAGCTAGAGCAGCTGGATCATGCACAGGTGGGAGACGAAATTCCACGCTGCAATGATACCATCCGTACGTCAGGCAGCTTCAGCTACCCTTGCTAATGCTGGTTTCTAGACTCGGTCGAAGAGCTACCTTGAGGCACATTGCAGAAGTTGGCAGGGCTTGAAGGAAAGAGGCGCAGTTTTCATGGGCAAAAATTGAACTGGCATTGGTCTGGAGTGCCTGGGCATCATTTGCCTCGGGCATGGGTGATGGATTGGGGGGGGGGGGGATTGCACCAGTGACCAGCACCAGCCACAGGGAAACCGAGAATCACATCTCGATCATAATTGCTCCAGATTTTCGTCAATACTCTCCACTGTGTTTGTGTTTACAAGCGCGGTTGAGAGCGGGAGCCTGAGAAGAAGGGCAGGGAGTCGTGGAGGACTCGCTCCGGGGACCTTATTCGCGGAAAACTCCACGCGGGCGGAAAGCAAAGCTCGAGCTGATTGAGGATGATGTGCTAATCCCAGACGGCCAGAAGGCGAACGACGGGACGGGCTAGATGGGGATAGCTTGGGGTGTACGGAGTACATGCGGGCCCCAGGGAGAGATCAGAAAGGTAAGAGAGGTTCCATAGGGGAAAGGTCTCGACCAATTATCGGAGCAATTATGGGGGGCAGGGCCTGGGCTTTGTGGGTTCGGCGGGGAAGGGGGGTGGTGACATCATTCGACAGGTGACGACACCACGACATCGACAGCTGGGCGACGTGAGGGAAAGAGGCATAGCTTAAGTTTTTTGGAGAAGCTTGGGACAACATACATTGACACATCCAATTGAAGAGGTGAGCTGAGCTGAGGGAAGAGACGGGAGAGAGAGAGCTCTCTGTGACATGTCTTTCCGTAGCGAAATGCCCACCCCTGCCTTGTACCATGTCCAGCTACGCTCTTAGTACGAAAGTAGCTTCATGCTTTCCACGCTTCACGCTGTGTTTTTTCTTCTGGCCTGAGGGAAAATCAGGTCCAAACCGATGATGGAATGAGACCTCGATCTGGCCCCTTCCTTTCGCGGCGCCAGAGGTACCACCACCACCGGCTAAGGTAGCTTCCCACACGCTTCCCTCTCCTTGTTTCGCCCTGGGACGAACGAGCAGGTACGAAGGACAGACACTACGCACTTGCCTTGCTCCGGTTACCTCCTTTGCCTCCTTTGCATTGCAGAGGCTGAGGTCACAGGTGGCTCACACACACACACACACACACACGCCGCCCAGTTCTCTCGCTCTCTCTCTCCCTTAGCACATAAAAGCCTTTGCCCTCCCACCCATCTGGCTCGTGGTTTCTGTTTACATCACCTCAATTGATTCTCTTTTTTTCTCATCACAACAAGATACCCCAGAAATCAGTCATCATGTCTCTGCACTGTAAGTCGTTTTCCTGTTCGGCTGTGGAAGAAAGACTGGAGGAAGCATCACGTCTTTCCTCTGTAGCTTTGCTAAGCTACCTCACCTCACTCTCTCATCTCAATCCCGCCAGGGAGAATGCGCCTTGGCTGGACTTGCAAACCCAGTCACCATCAATAGATTATTAGCTGACAACCTTTCGTGACAGACCTTCCCCCCGTCAAGCCTTCGGCTATCGCCCTCGGCACCATCTTCAACCATACGGCTGAGCTCGCTGGTACGTGAAATGTCCCTCCCCAAGCTCCCGGCCAGACGCGCGCCATTACACGACAGAATCAGCTGACCCAAGCTCCTTCCCCTCAACAGTCTTGACCCCCATCTTCGGCCAGACCTACCAGCGCGCCAAGGCCGCCAACACCAAGGAGGAGTTCGCTCGCTCCAAGGAGGCTCAGGGTGCCGCCGTCGCCTGGGGAACTTCCCTCGTCGGCTCTGCCCTTCAGTCCTACGGTGTTGGTGCCCTCATCAACGCCACCGGCACCCTGTCCTACAAGGGCGCGGCTTACCTCGGCTCTCTCATCTTCTTCGCTACCTCTGCTCCCGGTGTATGTCATACCTTCTTGGCCCTTTCTCATGGTCTTTCAACTAACAGTGACATAGTACATCTCCCAGGTCTTCGTCGAGAAGCGTCCCGTCGACACTGTTGGAGTCAGCGTCCTGGCCAAGGTCATTGAGACTGTCGGTCTGTCGGTCTTCCTCACCTGGTGGGGAACCCGCACCAACCCCTTCGACTAAAGGGTTTAATGTATTATGAATGATTCAGCATTCCTGGGAAATGGATTGCTCGTGTGCTATTACCGTTGGGTTGGATGGGATGGAGACATGGAGTTTAAAGCTAGCCAGCAGTTGCGGCTAGGGCCATTGTCATGTACCTACACTTTTACGTCTCAAGCCATGATTCCCTTAATCGATCAGATCACCTGATACTTTCTTGCATTCACACTTACACTATTGTGATGTACTCCGACTCCGCCAACACCCCTCGGTGTTGTGTCCTTGTTGAAATGTAATAAGAAAGTTTTCGGTTCATTCAGAGAGCACTACTGTCATTCTACGGATGCTTCCTAAGACCGCTCAGGATTCTTGAAATATGTCAGGTCACTTAACAAGAACTTTTGCGATTCGTCACCACTTGGGATCAACAAAGACCCATACTTGACCGTGGCCTGGGACAAATATTGACAACATGCACAAATTCGCTCATCGGGAACATTCCGAGAGTTCTTTGGGACAGTACAGACCACCCGTTGATGATTCGGCAAAATTATCACGTCTTGGATGGCCAATGTACTCCATCAGCAGGACATCATGCCGTTAAAGGCCATCAGCCTGGCAAAGGTCACATCTTCCCCACGAAGGAGAAAGGGCTCCTGACACTTCGTGTCGAAAAGCTTGATGAAGCAAGAAAAGTTCCTCCACACCTCCGCACCCTTAAAGGTTCCAACGGAAGTTATAATGATGGTAAATCATTTATTTCTGTTCTTCTTTTTTCTATCAAGAGACAGAGCCCCTCGAGAGAGAGAGAGAAAAAGAGAAAAGAGTAGCGCAAACAAAGCGTTACTACCCCCAATGCCCAAAAGTGCCCTAGAACGCCATATCTCTTCATCTTTCTCAAACCAGCCAAAAAAAGCTTTTTTTTACCCCATATATTGTGACAATTCATCATTTTCTTTGGTGGGTCATGTCGTGATGGTTCCGTCCCATGTCTGATGATGATAAGACAAAAGACCAAAAAAAAAAGCCAAGCAATGCAAGTTTATGCCCAGAAAGACTGCTTCGCAGTCTCCTTCTGCACAAGCTTCACAAGCGCAGCGTAGACCTCGGAGTAATCCTCGCCATCATCCTCCTCGTCGTCACCCTTGCTCTCGCCAGACGCCTTCTTCTCGGCCTTCTTGCTGTCGGCGGCGGAGCGCTTCTCCGAGACCATGACGACCGAGGTGGGCCGCTTCGTCTTGGCCGCGGCGCCGAGCTCGGCGCGGGAGGTGACGAAGATGTAGGGCACGTTGTGGTCCTCGCAAAGGACGGGGAGGTGGGAGATGACGTCCATGGGGGAGATGTCGCCCGCAATAATAACGACGCCGGGGAAGGCGGTGTTACCGGGTCCGGCGGCGGGGGATTTGCGGAGGGTCTTGACGACTTCTTTTACGCCGCGCTTGAGGGTGTTGTTCTTGGCGGCTGTTGTGTGGTGTATGCGTCAATAATCGCGTCTATGTATTAGAGAAGGGGCAGGGGAGGAAGAGAGAAACATAAAGAACGTACCCTTGCGAATGGACTTCATAACCTTCTTCATAGCCTTCTCATCAGCCAAAGGCACGGCAAACGGCACGAGAGCGCCGACGACGGGGAGGCCATCAGCAACGGCAACGGCGGTAGACTCGCCGCTGGCGACGGTGGTGGCGGCGACGTCGGCCTGGAGGTGCTCGTCGAGGGCGCGCTCGAGCTTCTCCTTCTTGTCCTTCTTGTCCTTTTTATCCTTCTTGTCCTTCTTGATGGCGCCGTCGGACACGGAGCGCTTCTTGTCCTTCTTCTCCTTGCGGTCGGGCTTCTCGGCGGCCATTGTGACGGTCTGTTGTTTTGTTCTGTCCTTTTGGAATGAGAAAAGGGGGGGGCGATTGGCGGGATTGGCGACGGCGACGGGAATTCGAATTGGGCGGGCGACGGTCGTGGGTTGGATGCTTTCGGCTCGAAGTCGATGGGCTCGATATTTTTTTTTTCCGTCCTGTAGGCCAATGCAACTTTTTTCTGCTTAGCCCCACCTTTGCTGGTGTGCGATTGGGGTCTTTCGGTACGGTCGTATTTCCGTGCCGAACTGCTGTTCACCGAAGGTTGGATCCCGGTGAAATGGTCACGTGAGCATGATCGGCCAATCACGGCCTAGACATTGAGCAAATGTCAGCGCAATGTGATGGCTGGAGACCATGATTCAACTTTGGTTATAGGGACAATACAGACGCATTGGAGAGTCGGCTAAATGCTTTTGATAGATTCAAATTGAGTGACTGGAAGTTATGTAGTCGGCGGCATGACAACGCAGGGTAAGGTGTTTCGACATCGTCGGCTCGGGCACTCGCCTCAATGTTTTCATGCCCCAGGGAGTTCCGTTGTGAATTGAGAAACGAGTCAACATCTGGCCATGTAAAATACGTCTTCAGTCATAGAGTATGTGATATGCTTAAATCGTCCAAATGGGGCTCTATTCCATGTCTCCCCCTCTACGTAGTTGATATACACGTGTTTTGACACAGGGAATCGTTGTCCGCCTCTAGCACCCGTCGTCCGCCTTCTTCCAAAAGAACATTTACTCCTGGTCGCTGAACTCGGCGCGGCCCTGCTTGGAGTTCAAGTAGTGGTTGCTACATCGATGGTTAGCGTCATGTATCTACCCCATATCGAATTGCTCTTGCTGTTGATGCTACAACAAGCCCGTGGGGATAACTAACCGGTGGGTGGCCCAGTCCATAATGTACCAGCCGGCGACCAGAGGAGGAAGGAAGTAGAGGACCTGGTGGCTGAAGCGGCGCCAGGTGTTGAAGACGGCGTCGTGGGCGGCGCCGGCGAAGGGGTTCTGACGGTTGGGGGTGATGCCGTAGGTGATGATACCTCTCTGCTTCTCGCCACCTGAATGAAGACTTTTGTCAGTATGAATATTCGATTCGGAATGCGTCTCGTTTGTGCATCGTGTCGGCCGTGGGTTTCTGAACGAGTCCCTCTTCATTCCCTCGTGTTCAATCCCCCCGAAACCCATTGTCCATCGTTCAACCGCGTCGCCATCGTAAATCGATATCGAGAAAGTCGGAAAAAGACATACCAATGTGTCCCCACCAGCCGAGGTAGCTATTCAAACGTCAGCGAGATATTCATCAAATGCAATTGGGAGCGGTGCATGGCGCGGCGGGCAGAAGGAAACCTCATGATCTTTCCCACTCGGAAAAGCCCGCACGCCCCTTCCCGTTCGCCCGCTCAATTGACCTCCAACAAGAAATTCACTTACTGAGAGTACTTTCCGTGAGGGACGCTGGGTCCTCCCATAAGAGCTTGCGTAGGTCTCATCGTGGCGGTTGTGCTGTGGTGGACGGTGATGTGCAACACGGGTTGGATATTCTGGCAGTAAATCGGAGAGGGTCGAATCGGACGAGGTTCAAATCTTGTCCTTGACCTTTCCTGCCGAACCCGAAAGCTGAGGCGCACGTCCCAAAACGGCTTAGCGCATTCTTCACACTCGAACCGTCACCACCCATCCGACCACCCCGGTCACCCTGTGTGCCAAAATTCCATGACGGAGCTTACCGCCGCCGCATTCTGGTGAGAGAGAGGAGCTTTCGGCAAGCTTCAGTCCTCACACTGCACCACCAGCCCACCACCACGGAAACGACTCCAGACGCTCCAACTCGGATAGCCCGCGATACCCTCCAGCGAACTTCGAATCGCTGAACGCCAATACCGAAACCAAACAGTCACACATTTTCTCCCTCGCCCGTTCCGACATAATGGCTCAAGCTCTGGGCTTTGCGTACCGCATGGCCGTCCCTGCGGCCATTGGTATCGCTGTCTTGCAGTCGTCAATCTACGATGTCAAGGGTGGATCCAGAGCAGTCATCTTTGACAGGATGTCCGGTGTCAAGGATACCGTCATCAACGAGGGCACGCACTTCCTCGTGCCGTGGCTGCAGAGGAGCATCGTCTTCGACGTGCGGACGAAGCCCAGAAACATTGCGACGACGACGGGCAGCAAGGATCTCCAGATGGTCAGCTTGACCCTCCGCGTGCTGCACCGGCCCGAAGTCCAGGCCCTCCCCAAGATCTACCAAGTGAGTCCTCCGTAGAATACTCTACTTCTGCTGGAAAAAAAGTACACGCAATGCTGACCAACCACTCCTCCGTCCAGAACCTCGGCCAAGACTACGACGAGAGAGTCCTCCCCTCCATCGGAAACGAGGTCCTCAAGTCCATCGTCGCCCAGTTCGACGCTGCCGAGCTCATCACCCAGCGCGAGGCCGTCTCCCAGCGCATCAGCTCCGACCTCCGCAAGCGCGCCGCCGAGTTCAACATTGCTCTCGAGGACGTCTCCATCACGCACATGACGTTTGGCAAAGAATTCACAAAGGCCGTCGAGCAGAAGCAGATTGCCCAGCAGGACGCCGAGCGCGCGCGCTTCATTGTCGAAAAGGCCGAGCAGGAGCGCCAGGCCAACGTCATCCGCGCCGAGGGCGAGGCCGAGAGCGCCGAGACGATTAGCAGGGCCATTGCCAAGAACGGCGACGGCCTCGTGCAGATTCGAAAGATTGAGGCCGCGCGGGATATCGCGGCGACGTTGTCGTCGAATCCGAATGTCGCGTACTTGCCTAGCGGCGGTAAGGGCGGTAGCCAGATGCTGTTGAACGTTGGCCGGCCGTAAATGTCTTTGCGGAAATGCTACGGGGGAGGTGGGTGAGTGAGTGAGTGAAAAAAGGGCGACGCTGTATTATAGACTTTGAAGGCAAGTCACCGCTTCAATAAGTGTAATCATAGGGCAATGAAATTCTGCCGCCTTTCCACACACTTTGTTTTGTGCCGTACGCCTTGGTGTTTGTGAATGTTGTATGCTCGTGCTGGGTCGGAGATTTTGTCGTGGAGAGTAGCGCTGAGCTCAGCCTTGTGATTGAACATCGACGTCGAGAACCTCAGGTACAGGCAACATAATGTTTCTGAGAAGCTGAACCTTCTTCCGTGTTTGAATGTGTGTGAGAGCACCACCCTACACACGCATCCGGAGACGAGTATCGATAATATCGAAGAAGGGGGCGGGGCGGGGTTCTGCGGTTCTTGATCACAAACAATAAATTCTGTCCCATTGCTTGAAATGATTTGCACCCCTTTTACCATTGACATTTTATAGAGTCTAGTCGAATGACGAGCACAAGTCTCATTGGTGATTCCAAGCACACCTCTATAATATGGGTTTTGGCCACTTCATGATTCCCTCTTTCTTCCCCCCCTGAGCTGCCTGCTTGCTCAGTCCCTCTCGCCTCCTGACATAGACAAAATGATACTTCTCCATGGACCAAAGAGTAGCAGGCGGCTGTTTTGTTATTCGATATAAGGTACCCGTTAGAGAGTCAGCCATGGGCAGTCAGACGGTGTGAAGGAAACCAAGTCAAGAAAAGTTGAGTGAATATGGCCCATGGACCAATTAGTATTAAAGAAAACCCTTTGGATAGGGCAGGTATCATAACTGCAAAAGCCCATCGACCCAAGGCATCATACCTGAGGACCCCAAGTCCTCTCCAACGCCATCACAAGTTCTCCAAAAAAATTAATTTCAACCATGTGCTATGCCCACCCGGCTCTAAAGGGCAGATTCAAGGAACTCGGCAGTCAAGTGACCATTGAAATCATCCACCTTGCCACCAGGCGGAACGAATTCACCACCCTCGAGCTTCCAACCCTTGAGCTTCATGCTCTTCCATTCCTCCGAGAGCTTGAGGCGCACGAGATCTCCCGCAGCCCGGGCGTCTTCCGCACTGTCGTGTCCCTGAACTTTGCCAGCCGTCTCAACTTGGATTTTGCGGCTCAGAAGGTTGTCCATCAGCATCTTCAGGCCCAGGCGGTACGGAAGGCCATGCTTGTGAGGGAAGAGAAGAACGGTGTCGATGACTGTAGGGTGGACGATGCGAACGGCATTCAAATCATTCTCCAGTCCGTGACCAATCAGTGGAGTCTCGGGGCTGATGAGGGCAAAGAGAAGATCGCGGGCAATTTCAGGCGACGACACAACCTTCATCTTCTTCTTGGTCTTCTTAGGGCTCGACATCGTTTTCGCCTGGGCAGGAGTTGGATCTTCTTCCTTCGCAGTCCAGGGCTCCGCGGATGCCATGTCTTCGGGCCACACACCCGAGTAGCGCGAGTTGAGATCAAGGATCTCACCGATGGGCTGAACGAGGACGTCCAAGAGCTCCTCTCCATCGGGCCAAGAGGTTGCAGTGATACGGATGAGCTCAAGGCCATGAACTGTGTAGCACATTTCGCAATCGAAGCCAACAGCTCTGTCGGTGGGAGCATTGGGGTTGGCGGGTGTCTCGGCGTAGTTGAGAACGGAAGCCAGTCTCTTGGGATCCGATGCCTTGAAGACGTGGTGAACGTTGGAATGACAACCGGCAGAGTCTCCGACGGCTTGGCCACAGCATCGGTAGCGTTTGGGTTGCTGGGATCTGTCACCCATTTGGCGCTCGGGGAAGTAGGTCTTGCCCCAGTGGAAGTTGCAACTGCCGCCGGAGGCGAGAGCTCCATCCTCTTCTCTTCTTCCGGGGAACATCTGGAAGCGCTTGTCGCAGCGGTCACACTTCTCCCAACCCTTTGCGGCATCAAGACCCTCACGAGCCTTCTGGATGTCAGCCTCGGCAGGGACAGAGGAGACATAGCCATGGACGGCAAGGCCATCGATGGGGGTGATGAGTTGGCGAACAAGCTGAACTTCCTGGGCCGAGTTCAAGCCCGTAACAATCTTCTTGGGAGGGACTGCAGCCTTGTTGTGAGGACCCTTTGGGGTTGTTTGGCGGCGTTGAACGACTCTCTCCTCCTTCCACTGGAGCAGCGTCATCTTTTTGTACTGCATGATTTTGTTCTTAATTACGTTTGAGTAGATGGCACCTTTCTCTATCGCCGTGGATTCTTCTTCGTCAAGGACTCTCCAAATGAGATCTTGGTCTTTGAGAACGAGCTGCTTCTCTTCTGCGTCTTTGGCAGTCTTCTCGAGCTCGTTGTTTAGGCGAACGTATTGTTCGTGTAGCAGTTGCACGAGCTTGAATCGAATCTCGAACTTTGCCGGTGATGATTTGAGTAAACGAGGGTTGAGAGCCTCAGCCTTCCTGATAGTCTTGGGAGGCTCGGTCTTGGAGGGGGTGGAAGGAGTGTCTTTTTGAAGTGAGGTTGGGTTTGTAGTAGAGGATGCAGTAGTGGCAGGTGAATCAGCCTTACGTTTGGTTGGAGGATTAATAGATGTTGATAAAGGAGAGGACCTGCTTGGAGCAGAGTGATTCAGTGACTTCCTGAGGTCGGACGAAGAAGCGAGAGAAGGTGCGACTGGTTTAGACTGTGGGAGCTTCTTCACGACCGTGGAGGAGGAGGATGACGGGCGCTTTAAAGGTGGAGGTGAGATGGGCCGAGCGACAGGTGACAGAGTGTCATCTGGTCTTGGTGCGGTAACGTCTTGTTTTGAGGTCGTTTTGACAGGAGTGGGAGCTCTTGTAGAATCGGCGGGGTTTCTGACGTCTTGGGCAACCTTCAGACGTTTTCGAGGGCCATCCCGGGTTGCATCCGTCGTGGTATCAGTCGACCTTTCTGCCGACGTTCCTGACGCGTTGAGTGCCGGTGCTGAAGGTGCCGCCATCTTATCCCTGTCTGCTTTATGCTGGAAGAGGCACATGAAAGCTGTGCATTGCTCTCCCTTGGGACAGGGAATGTGTTTGAGGTCTACAAAGGACATTGTGACAAGACTTTCCTCAGAAGCTGTAGATATTCAATGGTTCCGTGAAACAATGGAAGGAGCGGCTGGCGCGGTTGCTTCCTTTCTCGTCTGTTACTACACAGCTGAGGGAAGGAACGAAGGTGACGAGTAAGAGACTGCCAGAGCCTCGTTTGCAGATGGAAGTTGACGTACACCTACGTAGGTATACACAGACGACCCTGCGGATAGAGAGAGTGGGGTGAGTGAGACTCCTGGCTGTTGGTGTGGGAAGAGCCAAGTGTGCTAGAGAGGAATAGAGATAGATTGAGTATGAAAGCGCCGATTAAGGCCTCGAAGATCCGGGGGAATGGTGCGAGGATCTCATAGCCAAAATGAGGGACGCAGACGCAGATGCAGACGGGAGCCAATGTCGTTGTGACGTTCCAGTCGGAGAATTCGCGGGTCCACGGACAAAGGGACGTTGGGTGGTTGAACTTGGCCGGTGTGGCGCGTAGACCGGGCGAGGCTGACACAAGAATGAAGTAAGATTGGGTGATGATCCAGAAGACGATAACGGGAACATCCAAGGCATAAAGATGGGTTGGTTTGAGACAGTGTCACAGATGGTTGATGTGTCTCGAATGTTGTCGGAGTTGGGATGAAGGGAGGCTCCGAGCGTCTGGAAAGATTACCTAAGGTACTCTGTACCTTAACCAAGGAAATACTTCGTAAGGCCACCAGCTTGGAGCTCTAGTGGGGCCGTTGACCGAGAATAGGCACATCCACCTGTTCGGTCTGGATCCTGCAGTTTCCAATGCATTCACACAGCGTCGTCACTTTCCCCGCGCAACGGTGGCACGCAACGATGAAAGTTACCAAGACGTCCATGTCCTGGTCAGATGAGGCAACACGCAACGAGAAGTGGTCTGGCTCATTCATCGAATGGACGACGTAGGGAAGACTGCAATTGAGCTTGAAGGTTGCACCCTTTCTTGTTGAAAGTTGTTCCGACGCCGTTACAACACCCACCTGAGTCAAGATGAGAGTTTCCCAGCCATCATTGATCAATCATTTCTTGCGGCCTGCCTGCATACGAACACCCAAAAACGGCAAGGCCATCAGGTCTGCTATCGACCTGTCACTTTTCAAGACAAGCCCGGCATCTTTGTTCCTGAAATTCGGCGAAATCGGCAGGTCCGCGATATCTCCCCTCCTTGACCATCTAGGACCATCCAGGACCCTCCTGGAGGAGCCTTGCCACGGTAGTCCCATGTACGTAAACTCTAATTCGTCCACCGTCTCATCTTTTTGAAGCCCAAAATCAGCCAAAGACACACGGGCATTTCCACTCACGCCAAGAACTTGGAGATACCTACTTACATCATGGTAGAAGGTGAACTACAGATAAGGCTTCCACTTACACTGCTTCCTCTGCAATCTGCCAGACTGCACTACTCCGTACACAGCACATCATTTTCGGTACCTACATTTGACGCCAGCATGGCCAAGCCCCGCCGTGCTGCCATTTGTTTGTGCTCGCCAGATCCGACATCTCTTATCGGATCCGCGCGGGGCTGCACAGACACGGTCTCGCATGTGATGTGATGGGCCTGGTGATCAACCTGTCCTCTCTTATCCACCACAACCCCTCGTTCTTGAGTTACCGTGTACGCAGTCTCCGTACTTCGTACTCCATATGGAGTACAGGACACCGTAATAAGAATGCAGCCTTCGGACCTTCCTTGCATGGGCAGGGTGACGCAGAGACGCAGAGCAGGAGAGCAGGAGAGTCAAAAGGCAAAGGACGCCCGCCAACGAAGCCACCGGCCATTTTACTCTTGCCCGCTGATAACGGGACTGCGGTATCAGAGCCCCGGTGAGTGCTAGTGGCACCAAGCGGAAGGGCGAAACCATGGGCAGCCCTGGTCTCGAGGATGGACTTGCCTATCGCGGTGCAACGGTTGGACAGGAGCTATTGGCGGTGAATACCCCATAGTGCAGAGTGTGAGTCTGAGTACGGCCGGGAGACATGTTCTGTCAGTGTCACTGCTGTGTTGGGTTGTTTATCGAGCAAGTCGTTATCAAGGAGTAAGATGAAGCGAGGGGTTCACAAACCAACCTGGCTTCTGTGCGATTCTATCTTTTCCATCTTGGACCGTCTATAAATGAAGCGCTCGATGCCCACCACCTTGACAAAGCTTGTGATATGAGAATTCTGGGATCAACGAAAGTCGCACAACGAACCGATTCTCTCAAACGAACTACACGCTCGCGAAAGCTGGAGATCACCGTGACATACCTAGTGGATGAACTCCAAAGTCCATCTTGGAATTGGGTTCTCACGTTCAGTCAGCCCTATCGACTGGCAGCAGCGAGTGGGCGGCCGGCGCGCATGCTCAGCTTAGGGTCCCCTCTCTCTCTCTCTCTCTCTCCATCGCGCACCACTTTCGTCCCTTCGTCTAGCTCTCGAGTTATTTCCCCAAAATCGACCATCTTGCGAGCTCACCCAACCCAGAATTCACAAGCTGAGAGACTTGCAGCTTGAAGTGTCGTCACGGATCGCAGTCCCGACAAGCTGATTCCACCCCACCACCGCCGCGAACTCGTACCCTTTACGCTGCAGTTCCCTCCACTTTATCAGCAAGGTCCCAATCGAGACGTCGCGTGCGCGCATTCCATTCCTGTCCAGGTACCTACTGCGATCCCTACCTTTACCGACACCTTACCCTTGGTGGTTACCTCAGGGTAAAGTACGAAGTAAGGTTAGCAGACAAACGACAGAATTGTCCAATCAACGAACAGCTTGGACGAGTGATTGCAGCCTGCAAAGGAGGCAGGAGGAATCATCAGGCCGCTGAAGCCACGCGGCGCACGGTACCTTGTCCAATCGCGCCTGGAAACACACCACCACAGGAGACTATCGGAGCAATCGTGGTGCTAAGCCGCCTTATCTCTCCCTCAAATCCAGGGGACACATACACACAATACGCACCTCAGTATCCGTACGGGCAGCAAAGCAGCAAACACCGCTCCGCCAGCGTGCGGGAGCCCAGGTGTTGGGGCCCAGTGTTGGTGTCATTGAATTTCCAACACCTGCCAACAAACAGCTGTCCACTGCCCACTGCCCACTGAGCGGACTTCAGACGCCCACCCACACCCCCCCACGGTCGGGCTTCGCGGATTGTCCGTTAGAGGGACTCTCGTGGTCGCCCCGAGAATTTAACTCGGAGCGCGTCCCACTGGAGCTTCCCTTCGACGTTCTCCATCGCAACTTTTCTCAACGTTGTTGCCCTTTTCTGTTCGCTCTATTAACCGGTCCCTGATCTCATCCTACGACTATCTAATGGATTACACCGGAGGCACCGCAGAGGCCGACCATCTCTGCGTACTGGTCCATGGGGTTCGTTTACACCTTATTCCCCTGTCTTTTCCTCCCATCTGCAACCATCTGCAGCACCGTTTTCCCACGACGTCATGAATGTTTCTGAACTAACGCCTCGGCTCCGTAGCTTTGGGGTAACCCCAACCACATGGCCCAGATCGCCAAAAGCTTGCGCGCCAAGTACTCCGCCGACAAGCTGCACTTACTGCTTGCGAAGCGAAACAGTGGTTCCTTCACATACGATGGCATCGAACGTGGTGGTGAGCGCGTGTGCGCCGAGATCGAGGAGGAGCTGCGCCTCATTGAGGAAAAGGGCGGCAAGATCACCAAGCTGAGTATCGTCGGATACTCGCTCGGAGGTCTCGTCTCCCGCTACGCCGTTGGCTTGCTTCACTCGAAGGGCATACTCGATACCGTGGAATGCATGGTACGAAAGCCGCCTCCTGATGTAGCGCAAGACGACAGCGACTGACTTATGGCAGAACTTTGTGACATTTGCTACGCCACACCTCGGTGTCCGCACGCCACTCCGGGGATGGCACAATCACTTGTGGAATGTTCTCGGAGCTCGCACCCTGTCCATGTCCGGCCGTCAGCTGTTCACTATCGACAACTTCCGCGATACCGGCCGACCACTCCTCGCTGTCTTGGCCGATCCAGACTCCATTTTCCTCGCCGGACTGAAGCGATTCAAACGGCACACCCTATACACCAATATCGTGAATGACAGAAGTGCCGTGCACTATACTACCGGCATTACCAAGACCGATCCTTACACCAACATCGATAAGATCAAGGCCAATTTCTTGGACGGCTACGAGGATGTCATTCTCGACCCGGACCATCCCGTGGCGCCGAAGCCAAAGATCTCGGAGCCGGCCACGCTTTCATCTGTTGCTGGTTCAAGCTGGAAATGGATTAAGCGCGTTCCTTTCGCCATTGCCCTTACGATCTTCGTCCCAATCGGTATAATTGCGTTCCTGTTCAGCTCTGTGGTTCAGACGGTCCGTTCATCGAAACGCATTCAATTGCACGAGAAGGGCCTGGCAGGCGTGGCAATTGACGAATACCGCGGCCCGCTGTGGATGAAGGAGATCCGGGAGGAAGTGGAGCACGTGTACGAGACGCTCAATAGCTCGCAAGACCAAGAGTTTCTGGGGAGTGAATCAGAGGAGGACCTGGACGAGGTCGAGATGGATCGCAGTACCACACAGCTCTTGGCTAGGGAAAGGCGCATGTCGGTACCGTCGCAGCCTACTCTCGCCCTGGCGCCCTACCAGTTCCAGATGGTTCAGGCCCTCGATTCCGTAGGATGGCACAAGTACCCTGTTTGGATCCACAAGGACCGGCACAGCCATGCTGCCATTATTGTGCGTTGGGAAAAGAAGTCGTTCAGCGAGGGTCACGTCGTGCTCAAGCACTGGCTTAACGAAGAGTTCACGGTCTAGATGAGGTGTTTGTGTCTGGGGTTTGGAGTCGGAGTTGGAGAAGCGATGAATTTAGAAATACTGCTCCTCTCGGAGAATTCAAGTTATCTGTATAATTAATTCAACCATGTGTTTCTGCCACCGCAGCTCTTGGATATTTCAGTGATAGATCACAGTGAAGATGTCCACAGCCTTGATGAGCTCATGTCTAAATTGTCAGTTTGCACTTC